TTTCATTGTATGTTTTTGCACACTTGAAAAATTTGAGTAAGGATTTGATTTTAGGCAATCCTTATTCTTCAGCTAGCCTTTCTTTCATCTGTAATACTCAGGATTTAAAACTGAGTGGGTGTGAACATTTTATGAAAATGCAAGTGTGCTCTTGTTCATTATCCTGATAGAATTATATACAGTTGAATTATCAAAAATTATTAAGAGTTTATTTGGTGCCCAATTTTTCTGTGTTCCAGGTGTGTGTTCTAGACCTGCGAAAATAAATATTTTAGAAGAAACTGCAAATGGACCAGCGTTGAATGTGGAGGTAGAAGCACTCTTCAAACGTATTTTTAACATCTCTGGAATGGCAAAAACTGGGGGAAATAAACAGAAGCAGAACTAATCAAATAATGCATTTCTCCCAGGCAAAAGGAGCTTGCAATGTTTTGTCCACCAACCTTCAACAAGGTTTTAAAACAGAATCACTTAGGGAGGGGGGATTTTTCCACTATGAACTTACAGCCTTTGGAGGCAAGCAAGAAGGTGGCCATCAACAGCTAAACCTGCTGTTTGCTGGGGTCAGATCTCTGAGACCTCATTTTGACAGCTGCTAAAAAGAAGACGAAAAGCTGTGCCAAAAACAATAAAAATTAAAAGGAAAACAAAATCTATGAAGCAAAATGCTTTGATAAACCAAAATGGGAAAAAGTTCTCCTCCATGTGGTATTGCATTGTTTTTCTTTCTAGTTTGGACACTACAATTGCTCTCCCAAAGGACATTCAAAACCAGTTTGTATTGATGATACACTCAAATTTGTAATCCCAACACTTTGTATTTTCTAGACTACTGTTATTTGTTCAGTGATTTTTTTCTTATCAGCTGGAATGTTACAGCCTTGACAATAACAGGCATAGGTTCAAACTGAATGTCTTTCTTTTTGTTTCTTTCTTTTTGTTTGTTTGTTTGTTTCTTTTCTTTCTTTTCTTTTTCTTTTCTTTCTCTCTCTCTCTCTCTCTCTTTTTTCTTTCTTTCTTATTTTCACCAACTTTTTGCTTTGTCCTTTCCATTTGTGCCTAGTTAATGCAAAGGGCAGATGGGCCTCATTAGTGACTGCTTCTGTTTTCCATTTCTCCTCTTCAACCCTCCCCCCCCCCCATCTTTTCTCTTTTCTTTATCCTCTGATTCTGCTACTTCTTTAATGTTTCCATGCTTCAGATCTTAAAATCTGAAGGGCACTTTCAAAAAATTGTGTATTAAGTGCTTTAGGTGCCGGAAAAGCTTTTTACAGAAGAAAGATTACTTTTTAAAAAAAGAAAGAACCCCATGTATTTTTGGAATAAGAAATAAAGGACGTAGTATTTTTATGTTAAAACACAATTTTAGAAACTTAAAATATCTAACATATGTGGATTGGATTATGTTCCATCATTTAAAAGAACAATTCAGATGAATCCCTATTTAAAGATGCAGTATCTTTTTAATCTTCATGAAAGGCAGTTTTGCCTATACTTCTTTTTAAAAGATTCTTTAATCATGCAAGTAGTCAAATATTCCATGGCATAAATTCTTTATCAGATGTTGTAACTCGACAGAATATTAAAACATAATTTCAGAATTATAAACTTCAAAACTTACTTTGAATTAATTTTTTCTTAAAAATCATGACTTTTTAAAAGAAAACTATTACCATTGGTGTACCGTGATCTGCTTTCAAATATAGCTTTGACTTATACTTGAAGTTATAAAAGAATTAATCTTAACATTTCACTCTATATGAAATACTATTTACAAATTATGTAGAGATGTTTGATAGATAGAACAGATTTCATCATTTTTATTTTTCAAATAGTATTTCACCCCAAGATATTAGGCTTGAGTACATTAAACTCAAAGAAATTCACTTCTAAATAGACATGCATAATATTACTGTTTAAATCTGGCTTCAAATCAACAACAACTGGGTAGTGAGGCATATAAATATAATAAACAAATAAAGTACAGATAGTCCTCAAATTATAATCACAGTTGGGACTAGAATTTCCATTGTGAAGCAAGATGGTTGTTAAGTAGGTTGCACCCAATAATATAACATATTTTGCCACAGTTAAGTGAAAAATTGCAGTTGTTAAATGAATCACATGGCCATTAAATGAATCTATCTTTCCCCATTGATTTTGCTTGTCAGAAGACAGCTGAGAAGGTTGCAAATGGTAATCACACGACCCCAGGACACTGCAACCCTACATGCCAATTGCCAAAGTGGGGATGTTATGATAGTTGTAAGTGCAAGGACTGGTTGTAAGTTACTTTTTTCAGTGCTGTTGTAACTTTGAATGGTTTCTAAATGAATGGTTGTAAGTAGAGGACTATCTGTATTGTAATATTAAAATGATAAAATATTATTCCATAACCAATTCTGGAATAAAATTCTGGACATTCTATTTGAATTTAGACTTAATTGAGATACATGTGAACTAATGGGATACTACATCTTTAATATGGTAAACAGGGTTCCTGTATGGGGAATCAAAATGCCTAATATTCCTAGGATTCCACAAAGATTTTTTCTTAATATAAGAGATTGCATTTTTATTTTTTATTTTAAAACAAAACTATGTAATTTTTGTCCCAGGTGATGTGCACTTTTTTTTCATTTTTATAGCTTGTTTCCCCCCTTTTTTTTCTTTCCTTCCTTCCTTCTTTCCTTCCTTTCCAAATTATATTTTCAGCCATTCACTGATAGTCTAAATTCTGGCTTCTGAAGTTTTATTGTCTGTGTCAGACTTGAAGCCAGGCTTGGTTCTCATTTCAGCATTTCATAGATTCTGTTGAAACACCTCCCCTTGCCCATTTTCTCTCTATACACATGCCCTCTTCCAGGCCTACACACACCCAAAAACCACGCTCACTTTCTTTCAACAAATCACCTTGTGTGTTGTAATTCATTTGTTCCAAGAAGAAAATCAAGAGATCATATTCAGTGTCTTGAATAAATTGCTATATTTTGATATTAGAACAATTTTGTGTGAGTTATTCCTTGTATGCTATCAGCATTTTCTTTTTGTCTTCAATTCTTAAGACTTTTATATTACTAAGATCTCAGGTTGCAAAATTGTATAATTTTGTTTGTGCTAGATATGGAAACATTGTATGTTTTAGTCACTAAAATCCTTTAAGTACAGTATACATTACATATATACAATAATATTTCTGACATTTTATGAGGCACTATCAACCTACTCATCTTTTCAGAATTGAAGACTAGAAACGTACAGATTTATTTTTTTAAATCTGGATACCCAAATTCTACATAAGTTGTCAGATCCTATGCTTGTACTCTGTGATCAAAGCAACTAAAAATAATTCTGCCATTTGTTTTTTTTTCAAGAGGAAAAATATTATTTTATTACCCTGTTTCCCCGAAAATAAGACCTCCCCGGATAATAAACCCAATAAGGCTTTTGAGCACATGCACTAAAATAAGCCCTCTCCAAAAATACATAAATGCATGCGCAGCCAGTCCCCAACATTTTCTCTGGTTGCTTGCCACACCCAACAACATGAGGTGAGGCGGCGAGGCTGGAGGAGAGGGAGGGAGGGCCATGCCCCACACACCCCACACATCCTTACCTGACAGCCGCTCTTGTAACCCTAGCCACTGCGCCCCTTCTGTCATGCTAATGGCTGCCGCAAAAGCAATTAGCAAAAAACAGGGAGGTGGTGATGGGACATCTGGTCGCAGCGGCGTGGCTGGGCCAACGGCATGGTGCAGAGTCCTGGGAAGCATGGCTGGAAGCGCATGTGCGGCCTCAGGGATGAACAGCTGATGAGCGGCTGTGTCAGCAGCAGCCATGAGGTGTCCATGCTCGTTGCCTCATGCACCTCAAAAATAATAAGATGTCCCTGAAAATAAGGCCAAGCGTTTATTTTTGGGGAAACACGGTAGAATTGCATAGTTAAAATTAGGATTGAATTATTCAAAGTTCCTTAATGGAATTTACAATTTTTAATAGCAGTGTTTATGATAAAAAGAAAGCTACTGTGGCATTTCCTTAGAAATAGCTGCCAATATAAACAGACTATTTTTTTTTAAGTCTTCAAATGCTATGTAGTTGTAGTCTCCAGATAACAGGTAAATAGGATATTTTATGAATATCCCATAAACAAAGTAATTAAAGAAGTAAAACATTGGTATGTGGCAGGGTTATGTTTCTGGGCATTTTTTATTTATTTTTATTAGATCTTAGTTGGAGTGTTTAGAATTTTTTAAGCACCTTATTCAGCAAGGAAGTGTGGAAAAAAGAAAGGAAGGAAGGAATGCACATTGAACCAAAAGAAACATTCTGTGGAGTTGGAGTAGTGGTGTTTTATTCCCCCATTAAAATAAAGCAAAGAACAGCAAATTGTAATCAATACATTCAAATAAGTAAAGTAAGGGGGGTTTTCCAGGCCTGGATATGCTTTGAAAATTATTTGAAAAAGTGCTTCAGTCTTTGTGTTACTGCAATATCTCTGTTATTCATTGAAGCACTCTGACTTTTTATAGGCTGAAAAAAAGATGCATCGTTTTTTCAGCCTATAAAAAGTCCATTAAAAGTGGATTCCTTAAAGATGTGGCATCTCTGTTTCAGGTTTGTCCAGAAGCTTGAGAAAAGTCAGGATGCTTTAAATAATTATCCAAGAAATGTTGTGTTTCTATGAAATGCAACATGTTATTACTTTCAAAGTGTGCATCACCTATATTTTCTGCCCCAAAGTTGAAGGAAGAATCATAAGCAATCAACACTTCAATAGAGGAACCCTAACAACCTATTCTCCATAGCTTAATTTAAATGTTTTGTGCACATTATTTAGTATAAAACAAATTAATGGGTTGTACTTGAAATGCAGAGTTTAGTTGTATTAGAAACAGTATCTAGCATGACAAAGAAGAGAGAACTTTCATTAAGTTCAGAGAAATGTAGAATACCAACATCTGTTGTTGTTTTTTTTAAGGGAGAAAACTAGAATGCACTTTAAAGTCTTAAAAGCAAGAATTTTATTATACAAATTTACAAAGTCCCAATAAGAGTTGAAATGTTAAAAACCCAAACTTTGATGTTTTGCCTCATTTTCCATCTCCTGGCATAGATGGAAAAACCACAGTGGAAAAACGTAAGTTTCCTACTATTGACAGGAAAACAGCTGAATGCAGTTACAATGTTATTTGGGATTGGAAATGTGACTTTCAGTCATCAAAGTTAATGTTGCATTATTTTTCTTTCCCTCCTTTGAACCTCTTTAATGCATCAACAAATAAATGAGATTTCAGCTGTGTTTCCCAAACTTTCTCATTCATTACCCAAAACTGCTGATCAGAAAGTCCTTATTTAAATGTTCTTGTTGTAATTGGGCAATGGGTTGCCAAAGAAATACCACTTTTGCCCAATATTGGGTAATTTACCCAGTATGAGAGGCATTAGGCTTTCAGTTTGTGTGAAAGTCCAGGCTTCTTTTATTTTTGTGAAAATGTGGCCTGAAAGTATTCCTTAATTAAAAAGAAACAATCACAAACATAGATGTGAAGGTGTTATTTCCGTTGCCATTCTAATAAGTTGAATTCTACACATTTTCTCAATCTTTTTGAATGCGCCCACTGGTGACTATTGAATTGGACTCATCTTTTATAGTAGAAATGGGATAAGATTATATCATGTAGCTTTATAATGATTTATAAAGAACACTAACAAAAAGTCAGTGAAACAAACTTTCAATTCTTGATCCCAGAGTGTCCATATATAATGCAGCAGATAGAAATTTGCTTTGGTTTAACAAGCAAATATTACAATATCACTTCAATTGATTTTCTGGGCCAGGAGAAAGGTCTTGAATACGCTATCCATATCCACAACTGATACTTGTTTTGTTCATAATGCAGAAACCCTTGATAAATCTGAAAATTCCAACTCAACCCAACTCTAATGAACTCCTGGATGTTTAACTATACAGATGTGTTTTATATATCTAGGCCTGTAGTGTTTTCTTGTGTATTGTGTATCTGTTATCCACTACTGCTTCCTAATTCTCCAAAAAACAGCCTTGATAAATTTTCAAACTAGCTTTCAAATATTTTTGGTACTTGTTTTACTTAGAAGTTCCAGCTCTTTGACCAGATTTGCCAGTCTGATAGTAACTTTCTTAAGATTTGGACTTTTCCAAGATTGTTCCAAAATTAAACTTTATTGCTTAAATAGTGGTAACTCATAAATAATTTCTAAAATTCTGCTGTTGCTTTGTTTATTTAAAATCACTATAATATTACATGCATGATCAGATTTAACATAACAAAATTGGAATCAAAAGGTTACAACTTTTAACTGTTTTATCAATCCCAGGTATTATACTCATGTCAAGTCTAGAAAACAGTTGATAATTGGTTTTCACTGTATGCACCATCTAGGCACGTTTTGGTTTCTCTGGTTTTTTAAATGTTAGTTAGATCTTTCATTTTTCGGTTGGTTGCCAAAAAGCTGATGGACCAAACAGTTCCTTCTCAAGTTTTCCTTCACCTAGCCCCACCATCTACAAGCCAGACTCCTACCTCCATTTCTTCCAATCATGCCAGATTCTTAAAGACTGCTCAGACAAATGCCAAAAAACCTTCTTGGCAAGGTTTTTCAGAAGTGATTTGCCATTGCCTCCTTCCTAGGGCTGAGGGAAAGTAACTGGCCCAAGGTAACCCAGCTGGCATTGAACCTAAGGCAAGACCTCATGGTCTGCCAGTTCCTAGGTTGATGCCTTAACCACTACCCCAGACTGGCTGTCTTCTGTCTTCATAACTATGTTCTTAATTGATCTCTGTAATGAGATAAAAAACTAGTTGGATACTATCCTGGGAGACAGAACAAAATAGATTCCTAGTGCTTTGAACATATAGAGGGATATAAATGTTAATAACAAATTTTCAATAAGAGTATAATTAGCAAAATACTTGATACATGAAGGAGAATATAGCTAATATATTACATTTATGTCTCCTCAGGCAAAATTCTACCTTTTTAATCGTTATATTCCTGGTATATCAGGTCAATTTAACAAGTCATAAGTGGCATTTTGGGCCTAAATGAGATCTATAATTGTTATGCCACATTGCTCTGTTTGTATATAACCATCTTAACGCTTCAGTGGATATTCAGTATCCTTTTGCTTAATATGAGACACTCCCATCCTTTTCTTTCTGCAGAAGAGAAGATGAATTGTTTGTTCTACTAAAATATATCATAACAAAGAGTGCAATTTTAAACTACCGTAGCTTATAGGTTTTCTGAGCTTTATATATCATGCATTATGACAACAGCCACTCAGGCCCATCATAACAATGAAAAGGATTTTATATTATCTACATAGCTGATAATACACCATCAATATATAAGGCTAATTTAGATTGACAGAAGGTGTAGACAAATGCTAATTAGACAATTCTTTATAAAAAATAGTGTATTGTGTAAGAAATAACAATAAAGGTCAAAAACTAAATTGTTAGTTTACAAACTTCCTAAGATATAATTTCCTTTAACTTATTTGTTGAACAAAATCTATGGTTTGGTTTCATGTAGCAGACCAAGGCAATCTAGATATTGGCGATTGCTAATTTGAATACCACTAGTTATCTTTCATGCATAATTTGTATCACTGCATCTTGCATTAGTGGTGCATGCCTTTTTTATGCATTACTTTTAACAAAAATCATTCCATCACAGTTAAGATGGTAATATGTATCTAGAAAGACACAGGAATGATTAATACAATACAAAGCAATTCATCCCACTCCAAAAGTTAACTCACAACTGTGTAATTGGTCAGTAGAGAAACAGAATGCAGAACTAAATCTTAACTAGCGTGTGTTTTGGATATAAGTGCTGGCCAGAAGGTAGTTAGAATAAAGGAGTCAATATCATCAGAGGAGTGATGGAACTTCTAGCACAGGAGGGGCGAAGGATGGCCCCTTTATGACTTGTGGACTTCAGCTCCCAGAATTCCTGAGCATGGCTGGCTGGCAGAAATTCTGGGAGCTGAAGTCCACAAGTCATAAAAGGGCCATTGTTCCCTACCCCTCTTCTAGCACAATCACATCTCTGCTTGTTAAGGAAAGAAAGAAGAAGAGAGAGAAGCAGCTATGACTAAGATTGTAGGATGATTTCAACTGAGGAAACGAACAAGAAAAGGAGGCAATAATAGTAAGCCATGTAATGCTTTGTAAATTATATACTAGGTTACAGTGGAATGTTTTTAGTTTTCAATTTTAAGGTAAATCATTAGAATTATAAGAGTCCCTAATATCTTTCATTAAGTAAAATTGTCTTGCTGGCAATGCAAGCTGAAGAAGACATACAGGTGAAACTCAAAAAATTAGAATATTGTGCAAAAGTTCATTTATTTCAGTAATGCAATTTAAAAGGTGAAACTAATATATGAGATAGACTCATTACATGCAAAGCGAGATAGTTCAAGTCTTGATTTGTCATAATTTTGATGATTATGGCTTACAGCTCATGAAAACCCCAAATTCACAATCTCAGAAAATTAGAATATTACATGAAATCAATAAAACAAGGATTGTACATAGAACAATATCGGACCTCTGAAAAGTATAAGCATGCATATGTACTCAGTACTTGGTTTGGGCCCCTTTTGCATCAATTACTGCCTCAATGTGGCGTGGCATGGATGCCATCAGCCTGTGGCACTGCTGAGGTGTTATGGAAGACCAGGATGCTTCAATAGCGGTCTTCAGCTCTTCTGCATTGTTCGGTCTCATGTCTCTCATCTTTCTCTTGGCAATGTCCCATAGATTCTCTATGGGGTTCAGGTCAGGCGAGTTTGCTGGCCAATCAAGCACAGTAATCCCATGGTCATTGAACCAGGTTTTGGTACTTTTGGCAGTGTGGGCAGGTGCCAAGTCCTGCTGGAAAATGAAGTCAGAATCCCCATAAAGCTCGTCTGCGGAAAGAAGCATGAAGTGCTCCAAAATCTCCTGGTAGACGGTTGCGTTGACCTTGGACTTAATGAAGCACAGTGGACCAACACCAGCAGATGACATGGCTCCCCAAATCAACACAGACTGTGGAAACTTCACACTGGACTTCAAGCATCTTGCAGTGTGTGCCTCTCCATTCTTCCTCCAGACTCTGGGTCCTTGTTTTCCAAATGAGATGCAAAAGTTGCTCTCATCAGAAAAGAGGACTTTGGACCACTGAGCAACAGACCAGTTCCTTTTTTCTTTAGCCCAAGTAAGATGCTTCTGACATTGTTTGTTGTTCAGGAGCGGCTTGACAAGAGGAATATGACATTTGAAGCCCATGTTCAGGATCCGTCTGTGTGTGGTGGCTCTTGATACACTGACTCCAGCCTCAGTCCACTCCTTGTGATAGTCCCCAACTCTTTTGAATGGCCTTTTCCTGACAATCCTCTCCAGGCTGAGGTCATCCCTGATGCTTGTGCACCTTTTTCTTCCACACTTTTCCCTTCCACATAACTTTCTATTAATGTGCTTTGATACAGCACTTTGGGAACATCCAACTTCTTTTGCAATTACCTTTTGAGGCTTTCCCTCCTTATGGACGATGTCAATGATGGTTTTCTGCACAACTGTCAGATCAGCAGTCTTTCCCATGATTGTGATTCCTACTGAACCAGACTGAGAGGCCATTTAAAGGCTCAGAAACCCTTTGCAGGTGTTATGGCTTAATTAGCTGATTAGAGTGGGACACTTCGAACCTAGAATATTGAACCTTTTCACAATATTCTAATTTTCTGAGATTGTGAATTTGGCGTTTTCATGAGCTGTAAACCATAATCATCAAAAGTATGACACATCAAGGCTTGGAACTATCTCGCTTTGCATGTAATGAGTCTATCTCATATATGTTTCACCTTTTAAGTTGCATTACTGAAATAAATGAACTTTTGCACGATATTCTAATTTTTCGAGTTTCACCTGTAGAAGTACATTAAAGAATTTACTGGTACTTCATTCTGACATGCTCAGAATTTACTAGTATCATATTTGCCTCAACAACCATTTATTTTTTGTTTTGCTTTTTTAAATAAAGGATTAGAAAATCCCATTTAAAAAACACCTTGTGTAAATATTAAGTGGAACATTTCTTCAAGGTCTGGATCATGTATCCATTCATTCCTCAGCACTGATCTAGTAATTGAATAAATAAGCTAACAGTATTTAAGGCAGTTAAAATCTTGCCAGTGAATGTGTGAGTGAATCCTGAAGTTTACCAGCCTTGGTAGACAGGAGAATTCTTCATTAATCCCTCACTGGTGCCCAGATTTCCTTCAGACAGTATGCTTAAAGTTTCATCTGTCTGATGGATGGGCACTGTTGATGTTTTCTTTGAGTCATGGAAATTCACCGAGTTTCCGCTTGGCAAAGCATAGCCATTTCCAGCAGCAGTTGAGGTGGACAGAGAATCCCATGGAATTGGGCTTTTCTGCCACTGCAAGTCCAGATTCCAACCAGTCCAGCCATAAAAAGCCAATGTAAAAAGAAAGCCTTGCATGGGGTTCAGCACTCCCTAGGAAGGAAAGAACAGAAGAAGTTATTTGAGGGCCAAAGTGCAGATTATTATACTTTTTAGTGAGGATTTAAAACAGTGAAGTAGCCCAGCTTTCTGTGCTATTATTATCTCCTATTTCAGACTAAAGAATCAGACCTCAAATCACACAGTCATCCTCTATAAAAAAAGTAGACAACAAAATGCAGAAATAAAATATATCTTAAGTAATTCTGGTTTCCTTACGTTCCTGCTATTTATATAGAGTAGATATATGTCCTTCAAGGTATCTCCTAATTTTTTTGTGGGGTGGCTTAAGTTAAATATTTTGGACAAATTGATCTGGTGTGAAAGTATCTTCTGTTTTAGATCTCACTGATGCCATCATAAGAAGTATCTCTCCAGATTCACTTAATAACTGTGTTACTAACTTAACAACTGCAGTGATTCACTTAACAATTGTGGCAAGAAAGATTGTAAAATGGAGCAAAACTCACCTAACAACTGCCTTGATAAGCAACAGAAATTTTGTGGTTGTGGTTGTAAGTCAAAGACTACCTCTAGTAATAATTTAATTGTTCTCTCTTTAGGATCTTTTTAAAATTAAAAAATAAATTATAATATTTTTGACATTCAACCCTAATCGTTATTCAATCCTAATCAGCAAAGATTCATTAAAAGTTACCAAACATAACTTGCATTTTTTAGCCTTAATCAAATAAATTAATTTTATATTTCTTTACTTTTAACACACTTACTTAAAATTTTCTCTAAAAATACAACAAAAAATTTCTTCCCATATTTTTTATCTATAAACAAATCTGTAATGCCTCATCATTTGGATCTAATCAAGAAAATACATTAAGAACTATCAGAAACAACCTGTTATAAATCTTGAATTTTAAGCTCTTCAAGTAAATAGCTTACAAGTTTATTTGTTTTCATTTTCTCTTTGTCTCTCTCAGAAACTCCTTCACAAATTTAACACATACCAGAAACAACATCTATATTTTAACCTTAATCAGATTAAATTTTTTTCCTTTCCTTCTAACACCATAGTTTATCATTTTCTCTGAAAATGCAACAAAAAAGGCTTCTTCTCATAGCTTATTTATTTTAAAGCCTTGTCATTCAGCCCTAGTTGAGAAAACCGATTAAGAATTACTAGAAAAAACATTATATATACTTTAACCTTGATCAAATAAGCCAACTTTATATTTCATTTGTTTTTATAAATCTCTGTATTTGTTCCCTTTAAATAGTATCCAAAATGCTGATATCTTTTCATTTTCTCTTTCTTTTCTCTGGCAATCTTTCATGAGTATAACACATTTCTTTGTAAGACAAAGATTTAAAAAAAGTTATCCAAGTAATTCTTCTGATTTATTATTTGCATCCATTTTAGTTATTAAGACATCAACCAGTTTCAATGACAAATCCAGTGTAATGTTTTTTTCAGTATCATTCTTGTAACCTGACATTTTAAAATCCAAATTCAATACAGCTTTATAGTCAGTTGTATTCACTTCTATCTCCATTTTTAAACTTATTTTTATGGTAGCAGACATTCTTATTAGAATTTTCTTTGGGCATTGTTCTCACGTAATTCTTTAATTCTTCCAAAGTTAAAACAATTTTCTCCATTCTGTAGTGGGTCTCTTCTCCTTTAATTATAATTTTAGTTCATTTTGGTTGTTTCTGAGGCTCAGCAACCTCCTCATATATTTTAAATAAGTTTTTAAACAACTCACATGAAGGATTCTTATTATTAATTTCAAAATCTTATTTCCAATCCATTCCTTAGTCCATTTATAACTTTCCAAAATCAATATTGTAATAACCTGCTTGCTATTTATTCCAGGATAACTTTTTAAACTTCTTTTGCTGACGGTGGAAGGAGAATTATCTATGGTATCATGTAACTTGTTATTCTAAAGGTTCTTAATATCTAACAAGCAATTAGCAAGCAATTGTAGGAAAGATAATGGTAGCAGGAGGCAGAGGAGAAGAAGAACAAGCTTTGGTGTATATTCGCTACAATATAAGAGAAAAAAGAGGAAAAACTGGCAAAGAAGTTACAAGGAACTAAGTGTGCTATGATTCAACTGATATAAATACATTAATACAGCTATAGTGATACTTAAAAATGTGTGAACCCTGAAACATGATCTAGTCCCCACACTAGCCCCAAAACTAGATAAAATACATACTTTTGCCAGACACAAATATGTGGCTTTGGATCATTTTACTCAATAGATGAACAATATTTTTGACTCATTTGTTTAACTGGGTTCTCTTTATCTAGTTGTGTGGAGAACAGATCATATTTTAGGTCATGTTTATGCAGAAATACTGAAAATTCAAAAGGGTTCACAAACTTCTAGGCACCACTGGATACATATATTTGTATATACAAGTTGTATATACAAACTATTTAAAATATCTTAGAATGTGTTTTCCCCTTAGTCACCTCAACAAACTTTTAATACATTTATGCATGGCTATAATATCCAAAGCTACAGCTGGGTTTAACACTGTTATACAAATTCAGCTATCACAGATTATTAAATAAATTACTGTTAATCAAATCACATAAAGTGTGAACCCAGTAAATTTGCTTAAAATATCCATATGTACCGGAGGAGACCTTAAATATGCTGGCTGTTTCCCTGTAACCAATGTGCTAGAAAAGGCCATACCATTATAATCCATGTGATCAGTGCTGCAGTTCTGATATTTTTCAAGGAGCTTCCACTGATATCTGGTTGCATTTCCAGGTAGAACAGAAGACCCTCATTTATGATATTTGATGACCAGCTTTTATGGATGTAAAAGTTATGGGTAAAAACAAGACAGAAAGCTTTATAATTATTTGTTATTTTCAAAGCAAAATTAAAACATTTTTTTATCAACATTACTTGTTTTCCTTTCAGGGATAATAAATATTAGTATGAGTACACACATAATTATTTTGTTAAAATCCCTTCAAAGTGACAGAAGCACAGAAAAATTATTAAATAGTATGTTTTTAGTTAGAGCACTATTATTACAGTTATAAAATGAATAATTTTTTAACTTCTTAGTATTATATCAAGCTGTGCTATTACATAGCAATAAAAATAGTAAGAGCACTTAGACAATATTTCATCTGATGGATTATATTTCCTTAGGACTTACTGTTAGGAAGTGGGGAAAGCCTCTTATACACTCTGTGCAGGGTTAATTTAGCCCACAGTCTGGTCATTAAAAGCTTTCAACTATAATAGCTTTATGTCATTTATCTACTCAAAAGGTGAACCAGAATGATGTAAACAAGAGGAAAAGAGGTAAGTAAGAGGTCTCCATATAACCACAATTATCCCTAATTACCACTGATATATCTTACGGGAAGTTCAATAGTAAGATCTATCATCTCACTATTCCAACCTTGGTGTCATCAGAATACATGGCTTCCTATGCCAGAAAATGCAGCTTTGTTCCAAACCACAAACTTTGAACAACAATGTGGATAAGAAATTCTATAAAAAGAGATGATGACAGGAACATCAATGGGAGTTGATAAAAGTCAAGACTGTGGGCGCAACTATATGATAGCAATTCCCCCTTTTTTACTTGTGACATTCATAAACACATATTAAAAAGGGGAGACGTTTTGATTACACAGTTGCCCACCTAATCTTGACATTTTTTGACCCCTTCCCTAAACATCTCTAAAACATAATTAATATAAAAACACTGCTAAATATATATAACATAATTTATTATCACTGTGGTGTTTGAGTATTCAGAACAATATTTTTATTTATTTATATGCAGCCTTTATTATTTTTATAAATAACTCAAGGCAGTGGATATATTCAACACACCTTCCACCTCCTATATTTTCCACAACAAAACCCTGTGAAGTGGATTGAGCTGAGAGAGAATGACTGGCCCAAGGTCACCCAACTGGCTTTCATACCTATGGCAGGATTAGAACTCAGTCTCCCCTTTTCTAGCCTGGTACCTTAACCACTAGATCAAATTGGCTCTCAGATTTCTTTATCTATATCTGCATATCCATAGTTATCTGCATACACAATATACTGTATATAGTATAAGTATGTATATGCACACACACGCACACCATACATAAAAGTATAGGACTAAGAAATTTTACTTTGTTTCCATATTAGTGCTGAGACTGGGTTACTGTATCCCAGTTATGATTTTCAGTGTTACTGACATGTTAACAGCCAGAGGTCTGTACATTCAAAGAACAAGAAAGGCAGGAGTGGATAGCAATGTTCCTCATCTACTGCAAAATCTGCTGTAGATTCTTTAAGGTCAATCACCAAATAATTTTTAAGTTTGAATTGCTTAATAGTAGAACCAAAAAAGTGTCATCCTGACTATTTTGTACTACTATATTGAAGAGAAGACAGCTGAGAGATGGAATGATTTGGATATTTATTTGATTTTGGAGTTTGTTTATTTGATTTTTGTCATGGAGAAAATCTATGGTATCTACATGGTTGCTAAAAATCAAAACCTAGCTGATTGCATATTATCAATTTATTTGATGAAATAACTATAAAGCTCTATTTAATCGTTCAAATTTGGAGGATTTTTTTAAAACGTAAAGTTGCATCTTGTATATACATTATAGCTATAAATTGTACAGTATTTACAAAATTAAAATTCTGAGAAACCTCTTCCGGTTGGTGACTTGCAGTGACAGGGTGTTGAGTGAGTGCTCGCTGCTCCTCAACACCCCTTTTCACCGTGTTCTGGGGATCCCTTGGGGGGCGCGGGACCCGGAGAGTCCTGCGGACAAAAGAGGAAGCCAGGCGAGTGGGAACGTGGGGTGCGACCACCTCTCACTGGACCAGGCGGCTCTGTCGATCCAACGCGGTGAGCCGGCCACTGATGGCGGGCTTGAAGTTGCAATAGCCAACAAAAGACGGGAAGCTTAGAAGAAGATCGGAGGTTCCCCATACCTGAAGAGATTGTGCGCTGAGAGAGGAGTTCGGTGGAGTCGGGAGAGGAGTGCTCGGATTGGTGAGAGGTGGCGACGGAGAAGATAGAGCAGATTGTAATCGCGGAAGCCCAACAAGCCGACAAGCCGACGAGCGGATGAGAGAAGCGGAGGGAGTGGATTGCGTTTCTAAAGAATGCGGTGAGAGGGAAGAGAAAGAAAGAAAAGCCTATCGGGGTGGTTGGTTTTGTGTCTTCTGAACGAGTGGAAAGGAAGCAGGAGAAACACAGTGATTAGCTTATTGAGACCCTCGGCGAAACAGGAAGTGCGCCCATTGAACCGGAAGAGAGAAACAGCAGAGGACGAACAAGAAGACGTTCTAGCAGAGAGACTTACCATCGAGGTGCATTGGAGCCCACCAGAGTGGCGAGTTGAAGATTTATAATTTATACTTACACTTATATGTACTCTCCCCCATCCTCCTTTTGAGTATCTGTGTCCTTAATATTTAAACTTTGTTTTTTATATAATTGTCATCAATTAGACTAGTTGATTGTTAAGAACATAGAAATATAGATATACAAAACTAGGTATTAAGCACTGATTACAAATAAGAACCTAGATTTGTATTTAATTAATTAACTTACTATATTGTATACTATACTAATAATAATCTATTTATATCAAAACTTTTTATTGAGGTCTGAATTTAAAACCTATTAACCTATCAATTCATTGTTATTAACTTATTTAATATAGCATAATTATATCTACTGGTAGCACTTAGCAACTTATTTATATCAATACTTTATATATATATTTATATTAAGATTTGAATTTAGGATTTATTAATTGACTAATTTATTGTTATTATTGCTTAACTTAATTAGAGAAGACTCATATAATCAGTGATTGTCGCTTGCTGGAAACGTTTACTTATTCTACTATAGCAAGTTAGAAATTTAGAAATCAAGCATTAACTGAAATTTATTGAGAGTGTATCGAGAACCAATATAGAAGCTAAATAAGGATTTAAGAAAGTATCCCAGAGAAAACGTGGCAAGTGCCACTGGATGATAATTTGGAGAAAGATAGAGGAGATAATAAGAGATCAAAAATCGGTTTTGAAAGAAATGGCAAGTTTGACATCAACAATTGCAAAAACCGGTAAAAAAGTGCCATCTATCCCCACTTTGGCAATGTCTTCCCCAGCCATCCAGAAATCAGTAGAAGGTCTCCAGAAAACAAACAAACCCCCTGTAACCCCTACGTTGCAAACGGTACAATCGTCTCTGCTATCAATACAAGAAACTATGCTTGCGATGCAAGAGAAACTTTTGAACAGTCACTCTGAACTAAAATCAGACATCCAAGCTCTGGATTCCAAAATGAACGAGATCCAAACAGCTATTGCCAGCAATGAAAATAGAATTCAAAAAGCAGAACAAAGGATTGAAAAAAATGAGAAAAAACTGGATATAGTGGACCAAACGCTGTCGGCACAGAATAAAGAAACAGAAGACGCCTTGATTCATCTTGAGATGGACAAGGCCTCGTTTTACCTGCGATTCCAAAACATCATGGAAGATAAGGAAGAGGACTTAGGAGATAAGATGGCTGAGCTGATCGCAGAGACCCTTCAGCAAGACAAGCAGGACATAATTCGAGAGATTGACGAGGTGTACAGAGTCCAAACGAGAAAGAAGAAATAGGCTCCCTAGAGAGGTCCATGTTTGCTTTGCTAGAAAAAAAGTTAGAGATATTCTGTACAATATAGCCCGGGAGGAAAAAATTATCTATGGGGGAAAAGAAGTCAATATTTTGAAACAAATTCCAAGGAGAGTGAAGGAAAGGAGGAAAAACTATAGATTCTTGACAAACCAATTAAACAGGAGAAGCATAATATTTAGGTGGCTTTTGCCAGAAGGAATGTTAATTTCTTGGCAAGGGAGGAAAATCAGAATTGACTGTTTAAGCGATGCTCAAGACTTCCTAGACCAACTAAGGGGAGGAGAAGAGGAACAAACCAGTAAGGAGGAAAACGAGATAGCAAATACAGAAGAAGAGACATCCCAAGAACAAATCACAAGAGAAGACATAGAAGAGGAGAAGAAAAAGGAAGACACAGAAGAAAAAGGGGGGAAAAATCTAGACCAGTGAGAGCAGTAACTTTAAAAGGTAAATAAGTACAAGAGACTAGAAACTAATTATAGGAATGAACGATACTAAGATCATATCGTTGAATGTGAATGGCTTAAATGACCATAAAAAAAGAAGGATAATATTGTCGAAATTGGTGAAACAAAACCCCGATATAATTTGTATCCAAGAGGTCCATATAAAAAAAGATGAAGCCAACCACTTAAATTATACTAAATTTGGTAATGTATTTTCTTCACTAGCCGACAAAAGAAAAAGGGGGATAGCTATCTATGTTAAGAAAGGAATAGAGGCAGAATGCAAATACCAAGATGAAAAAGGGAGAATACTTATAGTAGAAATAACGAGAGGTAATTCTAAGGTGTTATTGGTAGGGGTCTATGCCCCGAATAAAAAACAAGGGAAATTTTACCGGAAACTCCACGAATAGCTGGCAAAATGGGCACACATTGAAATATGTATGCTGGGAGATTTTAATGGAATTGTGGATCCAAAGTACGATTATAAGTGTGACATAACTAAAAAAAATAAAAGATCTCCCTTACCAAAGCCCTTTTTTGATTTGGTGGACGAGATAAATTTAGCAGACATGTGGCGTACCTTACACCCCCAGGATAGACAATTTACCTTCTATTCAATGCCACAGAGCTCTTGGTCCAGAATAGATATGGTTTGGGCTACCAGAAAATTGGCTTTAGAAATTAAAAAGGTTAACATGTGCACGAATACTTGGGCAGACCATAAGCTCCTTGAAATCAGTTGGCTCCATGACACCAAAAAAATACACCAGAAATGGAGTTTAAAGATTAATTTGTTAAATGAAAAAGAGTTTTCACTTAAATTGAATGAAGAAGTCAAACGCTTCTTCATAGAAAATGGGAATCGAGAGACAGCTAAAGAAATCGTGTGGGACACCATGAAGGCTTATGTGAGAGGGGTAGCTATCTCATATACTGCCTTCAAAAATAAGGAAAAAAGAAAGATTAGAGAAGAACTCACCCAAAAACTTTTACAAGTTGATGATGAACTTCAGCAACGCCCGGGAGATGAGGCGATTAAACAACAGTGGTTGATGATGAGACATAAATTGAACTTATTGGACCAGGAGGAGATGGCGCAAAAAATAAAAAGATCCAAGCATTATTGTTTTGAGAACGCTAACAAGTCGGGGAGATGGTTGGCGTATAAATTAAAGAAAGAGAAGGAAAAAAACCAAATATTAGTGTTAGAAGACTCTCAGGGTAACTTGCTGACGAAGGAAGAAGATAAATTAGAAAGCATAAGAAAATTTTATGAATGTCTATATAAGAATGAAGGAATTGAGTTAACTAAGGTAGAACAGTATCTGTTGGAAGCCAATGGTAAGAGCCTTGGTACTACAGTGGTTTAAAGCACCCTGTTATTAACACAGCTGCCTGCAATTTACTGCTGGTTCGAATCTCTCCAAGGCTCAAGGTTGACTCAGCCTTCCATCCTTTCTAAGGTAGGTTAAATGAGGACCCAGTTTGTGGGGGCAATAAGCTGACTTTGTATAAATATACAAAAGTATGAAGGCTATTGCTGAATGCACTGTAAGCCGCCCTGAGTCTCCGGAGAAGGGCGGCATATAAATCAAATTAAAAAAAAAAAATGTACCTCCAATCTCCGAAGAAGAAAAGGAAAGGTTAAATGAAAAGATCACTATAGAGGAGCTAAAAACTGCCCTATCTAAAATAAAGAAGAACAAAACCCCTGGCCCAGATGGTCTCCCTGGGGAATTATACCAAAAATTTGATGATGTCCTGAAATTAGAATTGCTAGAAATACTAAATGATGCTCTTGCTGGTATAACAATCCCAGACTCTTGGAGGGAAGCGTATTTGACGCTCATACCAAAAGAAGGTGCCGACCCGAAGCAGATATCAAATTATAGACCCATCTCATTGCTGAATGCAGATTACAAACTATTTATGAATATAATTGCGGAGAGGCTCAAAAAAATTTTAAATCGATGGATACATAAAGATCAAAATGGTTTTCTCCCAGGGAGACAGATTAGAGATAATTTGAGAACAGTCCTTAATACTATAGAATATTATGAACAACACCCTGAAAAACAGCTGGCTTTAATGTTTGTCGATGCCCAAAAGGCATTCGACAACTTGAATTGGTCCTTTATGATAAATCAAATTGACCTAATGGGATTTGAAACCAACTTCAGGAAGATGATAGAGAATATTTACCAAAACCAGAGGGCAAACATATTAGTAAATGGAGACAGAACCCAGGTATTTCAGATACAAAAAGAAGTGAGGCAGGGATGCCCCCTATCGCCCTTACTTTATATCTTGGACTAGAGGTGCTACTTAGAAAGATTAGAGGTTTAATCTTTCTTAAAGATTAAAGATCTTTCTAATCTTAAAGGTTTAAAGATTAGGAAGGAAACATTCAAAATCCAAGCTTTTGCAGACGACGTTGCCCTCATAATAGAAGATCCATTAGAAACCGGTTTAAAATTAATGCAGGAAATACAGGATTATGGAGAAGTGGCGGGCCTTAAAATCAATAAGAACAAAACTAAAATAATAGTGAAAAATATGACAGATCCACAAAAAAAAGAATTAGAAGATTTATTAGGCCTCCAGACAGTTAAGAAAATAAAATATCTGGGAATATGGATTACCGCAAGATTCTCCTCATTAAAAGACGATAACTATACCCCCCTATTGCAGAAAACCTATCAAGACCTTGAGAGATGGAAAAGGCTCAAACTATCCCTGATTGGCAAAATTGCAGCGATCAAAATGAATATCCTACCTAAAATTTTGTTTCTATTCCAAAACATTCCGATACCACTAGATAAAAAATTCTTTTTGGACCTGAACAAACATATTAGGAACTTTTTGTGGGAGGGCAAGAAATTGAGGATTTCTTTTAAGATACTTCAAGGGAAAAGAAATCTGGGAGGGTTTGGGCTCCCTGATTGGGAACTATATCAAAAGGCGGCAAAAATAATCTGGATAAAGGAGTGGATCAAGCTACAAGACGGGAGAATTTTGACACTAGAAGGACATGATCTCCGTGAAGGATGGCATGCTCACCTGTGGGATACAAAGAATAGGAGGAAAACTTACTTTCATAAACATAAAATTAGGGAGACACTTATCCATACGTGGGAGGAAATTAGACAGAGGGTTTACACCAAGGTACCTAGCTGGTTGTCTATTATGGAAGCTTTAGTGGCCCCCAATAGGAGAGATGATTACAAATTGGGCACATACAAGGAAGGACATCTTGGATGAAGAAGGGAAGCTCAAACCTCTGGATGTATTGAGGGACCAGGGGTTCAACTTGGATTGGTGGAATTACCTCCAGATAAATTCCAGATTTCAAAAAGATAGAGATAAATTTGGTATTGAAGCGAAATACGGACATTTTGATAAAATTATTTGGGGAACAGATAAGAAAATGCTATCAAAAATTTACAATTTCCTATTAGATGAGGATAGAGCAGAGACCATAGCAAAAAATCAGCTAAACATCTGGGAAAAAAATTTAGGATACAGACTTAATTTCAACGACTGGGAGATGGCCTGGAATAGGAACTACAAAATAACGAAATCGGCAACATTCAGAGAAAACCACTATAAAATGTTACACAGATGGTACCCTGCCCCGGCTAGGTTAGCGAAAATATTCCCAAATCTCCCAGACACATGTTGGAAATGTGGAAAAACGGTCGGCACCTTCTATCATCTATGGTGGACCTGTCCTGAGACCAAAAAGTTCTGGTTAAAGATCTGACTCTGGCTCTCAGAAATAACGGGACAGGAGATAGCCCTATCCCCAGAATCTTTCCTCTTGGGTATGACTGAAGATGGCCTCAATAATAACAAAACGCAACTCATAATTCAGATTACAACAGCAGCTAGATTAGCCTTTGCGAAACTCTGGAAAAATAAATCTATGCCCTCAGAAGAATTATTAATAAACAAAATTCTAGAGTGCGCAGAAATGGCAAAATTGACGAGTGAGTTAAAAAATGAGGAGAATGCTAAATATTATGAAGTATGGGGAAATTGGTATAACTGGTTGAAGAATAAAATAAAAGTATGAGCATAGGATATGACCTGCTATATATTTGAATTGGATTTAATCCTATAGAACACTGTATAGTTAAAGATGAACTTATTCAACGTACGATGTACCAAATTGTATAAACACTGTACCTCTGATCAAGAAAGAGATTGTATACTATTTTTATATTTTGGAAAAAACCAATAAAGTATTTAAAAAAATAAAAAAATAAAATAAAATAAAATTCTGAGAAACCTGAGGTCTGCCCAACATAAGTATGTATTTTTATATCATACGTTAGTTTTTCCTGACATCTCAAGTAATTAATTCATATTTACCTATGTTCTAATTTGATTTTTAAACTAATCTTCCATCAGCTTTTCCCCAAGACCTCCTTTTCAGCTCATTACTGTAGAGTTTAACTTCCCTTTCTCTATATCTATTAAGCATATCACCTTTGCTTTTACTGTCTGGCATAATTTGATACCTTGACTGATTTTTTCTGGATGATGAATACTGACATTAAGACTGATTCATTCATCAGCTTCATTATTATCTAATTTATATCAACTAAATCTAATAGTCCCCATCCTGCAAAGGGGTGTATATGGAATCATGACAAATGAATTATGATTGCATAATGGGAAAAAAATACAAAAACAACCTAAACCTGACATTGGGTCAATCAATGATAGGTTACATAAATGCTCCAGAAATTCCTATCCTTTCAAATATATGATTATTTATGTTCCAGCTCATCCTCTCCTATTATTTTTAAATCCCCCAATGCCAAAATTTGTTGCCAATAACTTTTGGTTGTTATATGTGGGATAAACAGTCTCAAAGCAAATATTTCATAGAGTTCTTTAGTACCCAGAATGATCTTTCCAGTTACATTTGGTAACGTTTTCCATTATGAAAATTTTATTCCAAGAATATAAAATCAAATCTGCTTTGGATGATATATAAATAATACATTAATATATAGCAATAGCACATAGACTTATATACAGCTTCATAGTGCTTTACAGACCTCTCTAAGCAGTTTACAGAGTCAGCATATTGCGCCCAACAATCTGGGTCCTCATTTTACTGACCTCGGAAGGATGGAAGGCTGAATCAACCTTAAGCTGGTGAGGATCAAACTCCTGGGAATGAGCAATATTGCATTCTAATCACTGTGCCACCACATATGAGAGATAAATATTGTTGTCAAAGGCAACATTCAAAAAAGTTTTGCATTATAACAGGAAGAGACAAAGGAATCTTACATTAAAATTACAGTGGAGCATTTACAGATTAAGAAAATACATATAGTTCAGCCAAAAATCCAACATATGGATTTCCCTGTCTTTGAAAAGTTTCCTTTATTTTTTTTAATCTTACCAAACAATTATGATCAGCATAATTTTGAAAAAGCGATTTTTAATCTCTGTCCCCAGCCGCCTTTCATTCTCTGTGTAGATTCCTTGTCTTCCCTTCAATAAAGATGCAACTGAGAAGCAGAAATGAAGTGTGTTCATTATATTATTCAACAAAGAAGCCGATCCTGCCTAGCTAGAGCAAGCCTGCCACATTTTGAATGCAGAAGGCAATATACCATGGATCTGCCCCGCCCCCACTTTCTAGTAAGTAGAATTGCTTTGTTAATCTTATTTTTTTCCTATTAAAAATCCAATTACCATTTGGAATCTTACCGGCAGCCACAGTTCTACTGAAAAGAATTGGGTTGGCCATCAAAACAAGCACCAGTGGAACATACGTGGTGACATAATGAGGAATTGCATGCTCCAATCCATTTTCACAACTGTAAAGTAGGGAGAAAGGACAGATTATAATTCTGATTTATTTGTTCCCAAGTTGAAAATGATTCCTGCTTAATCAAGGAAGATTTCTTGTGGTTTGCTTACAATGCAATTAGGAATACATGTTGAATAGGCATCTTCAGTGTGGCAGCATCGACTGCTAGCTGGACAGAAGGCTATATTTGTGTGAACAAATATATATTATATAACTGGTAGTGATTGTACAGTAACTGATTATTTTTCAAACAAAGAATGATTATATGGAGAAATCTTATGAAGGTGGAAGCTTTCAGGAGGCCACTTAATTGATCCAATTTATAGAAAAATAAGAAAAGGGATTGAAATGCATTTGAAAAATGGCCTACTGCAAGAAATCAATACTAACCTGATCGACACCAAAAAGGCTAAGTATGAATTTATTCTAATGTTCTAAGTGGAAAAATTAGAAATTATTCCATAACTTGTATTTGGAGAAGTAAAGGCATTTAAGTCATTCAGATAAAATATCTTTAACTGTGATGGAGGCAGAGAGCTATTAAAATATAAAAGCGGAAATTGAAGGTTGCAACAATGTTGCATGCATTGTGCTAAAGAGGTGAGCAGGACAACATCCCAAACTTGTGAAATCACTCATTCTCTCTTATACCCTTTTCTCTATTTCACCTCCCTCTTTTCTCTCATGTCCTCCTTGCTCATTGCACAACAATTAGACATAGAGTCAGTTGCAATTCCATAATGATATGTTTCTTAATGGTTTAATCGGTTATACAAATACAGCAGGTTGTTGGTTACATGGCCCATTTGAGAATTTGAGAACACAGAACAAAAATACCGCCCTCAGCAAACAAAAAAATGAAAGAAATTTGTATTCTTTCATATACAAATTTCACATCTCACTGCTTTAAAAATTCCCCATCTCTCACAGGCCTCCCAATACTAGAGTTCCTTTGTGAGATTAAAATTTTCTGGAAAAATGGATGTTTGCAGTTAAAACAAAAGCTAGTAGTGGGAGGAAGATCCAAACATTTGCATCCATTTAGGTTCCCCTAAAATGACTCCCGTCACTATCCACCTTAGCACTGTATTGTGACAAGAGCTTGCCCTGAAGGATTTTCCTTATAATAGTAATTAAACCCTAAGACTTACCCAAGTAAATATTAAGTCAGGTCTTTTAATTATTTTTGACATGTGTATACTTTCTAATTTTTTCTCCAGCATATAAATTCCCATGCAGTCTATAGACACTGACAAGTTCCTAACTTTGGACAAGTATCTCCTCAAGACTGAACAACATAACAAAGGTTGGGTTTCATTCAGGGGTGGGTTCTAAATTTTTTTACTACCGGTTCTGTGGGCGTGGCTTATTTTGTGGGTGTGGCTTGGAGATCATGTGACTAGGTGGGCGTGGCTAGCTGGTCAGAGTCATTTCTGGAAGGTCCTCGCACTTACGACCAGTCCTCGCACTTATGACCCGACTCATTTGTTTGCTTTTAACACTGATCAGCTGTAGGACAGCCCTTTGAAGCCCCACGGCAAGAGTTTAAACAGTTTTTTTCTCTCTAGTCATCAGCTGGGACTCAGGAAGCAGTAATAGATTGGGGGTGGGACCAAATAAAAGGTAAGAATAACGTGGGTGGGGGGGGGTGGGAGGGCGGGGGGGAGAACCGGTTCGGTGATGTCATATCGTCACCGCTACTGGCTCGGCCGAACCGGACCAAACCAGGAGGAACCCACCACTGGTTCCATTGTATATCATGGTAGTGAAGCTGGCTTTCAAATGATTAGATTCCCCTCCTTTTAATAAATATGGATCCAACCAATATCCTTCAGTGTCCTTTAATTTAAACAAATAATTGAAATGATTTAAAATTCAGGCAATGTTAGACTTACCTAGAAACTGAAGGATAGTAGAGCATAGCAACTCCTTCCACGCACAGCAAAATTGCCAAGCCCCATGTCATCATATGGTATAACACAATAGTACTAGAAGGATATTGGAAAGAAAAATAAGATGTGAATATTGTTCCTTGTCAAGTTTTAAAATTACATGAGTACTTTCATATTTCAAGGCAAGTTGAACTGATGGTGAAAAAAGAATACAAAGTAAGCTTTTGAAAAGCAATACAATCTAACAATAGAAAATACCAATATAAAAATACACATTCTGCAGCAAATTTAAACAGAATAAAAGCCAATTGAATGTTGAAACCAAATATTAAGTAGCAAAGACTTGAACTCACAGTTGCCTCATTTCTAGCTTGATGCCTTAACCACTACGCCAAATTGGCTCTCATATTAATTATTAAGCAGACCATTATCCATATTCATCCATGAAGATAAAGCTATCTAAATGTGCACCTAATCATGAAAATATACCATCCTGAAAATATACCATGTTTAAAATGTAATGTTCATTTGTGATACCTCACTCCTGCTGATCTTCTAACTACCAAGTATGAATCCACAGCATAGCAAAACAGCCACCAAAAGACAGCACTGTACAAAAGTTGAATCCACATCTGAGAAACAAACAGAAAATCTTAGGTACTTAGAACAGGATTATTGACATGTTGTTACTTACAAGTCTGAAATGTTATGTCCAGCTGTGTTCAGTATACTACACAGAACACCAAAGACAATTGGGTCAAGTAATTTCTACTGACCTGTGAGTAGCATCTTCTTCCTAAATTCAGATATATGTAATGTTTGTTCAGCGCTTCAAATTCAAATAATTTTTGGGGAAATGTTTTAGATCGTGCCAGAGCATGAATACAGGTCTTTACCATAGCTGCATCTTTTCCCAGAATTATACCACTGATCTCACCAATAGCCATGTGAATATAGGAAAACACAAAGCTACTTTAAAGAGATGCAGACAGATGCTTGGAATCTGCGATCTTTAGAATCAAATCCAAAATCCTGCATAATCCAAATGTACAATCTATTCAACTACAGAATTATTTCTTTTTTACTCCAAAAGAACAGTAAGATATTAAAAAGATATTTAAGCATGGTGAGAAGTCAAACTAAAGGAAACTAAGAGCAGTTCTCATAATCTTGGTTACTCAGGACTAGTGACTGTGCTTCATGACAAAATTATTAAATATATTAAACTTGATTGCACATATTTCTCATGAAAATTGGATGGAAATTAGAATATAAGTTTTCAATCAAATTCCATTTATCTGAACACAATTCACAAATTTTGATTAGATCATTTATCAGTTCTTAATAGTGTTTACAAGTTAGCATTTTTGCTCATGGGGACTGAATTTTCACTGCATATTAGACTGGTCTGAAACTTTATTTCTATTGGACTTCCACTTCAATTCCTTCAATTGTTATTTTTTACTTAAGCTACTTTGGCCTTATACCTTTTTAGTCACTATTGCCAAAGGTAAACTATACAGCTTACCTGCGGAAAGTTATAATTTAATCATGCTGCATACAATACTGAAAGTCAAACTTTTTCTCAAAGAAAAAAAATGAAATTCAACTTTAAAAAACCCAGTTATTGAAAGCAAATGCTGCTCTAAAAACATTAACAAAATATTAAATGAAGAGCAGAAGTTAAGTACATTCAAGATGATGATTACTAAATAAATGGGCATAGGATTTGCTGCTTTAGACTATAACCTGTTTTTTATTTATATAAAAATAAGGAGGCTAATGCCTCCTACTAAGGCAGCATTTAACATCCAGCTGCCTGCAATTACTGTGAGTTCAATTCTTACCAGGCTCAAGGTCGACTCAGCCTTCCATCCTTTCTAAGGTGGGTAAAATGAGGACCTGGTTTGTGGGGGCAATAAGATGACTTTGTATAAAATATACAAAAGCATGAAAGCTATTGCTTAACGCATTGTAAACCGCCCTGAGTCTCCGGAGAAGGGCGGCATATAAAAATAAATAAATAAAAATAAAATAAATAAATAAATATTTTTGCAAAAGTCACAAAATTACTAGCATAAATGAAAAAATAAAATCTGAGAACTAGTATAACAGTGTGTTTACCAAGTTCTATAACCCATGAGCTGACTATAGATTTGCCTGCAAAGTTTTAAAAGCTCATATTAAGAAACACTATAGAACTTCCAGCTCAGAATACTTAGGAGCTGTATTGGGAGAAATTCTATGGCTTCAGGAAATAAAATAGTTACTGATTAGTTCTGAATGTGGTTGGAGAAGAGTTTTCTATCAATTCAGTTTAACACTACTTTCATGTTTACTATAAAAGATACATAGTTGTTTGAGACAGTCCAGAGAAGCCCAACTATGAGTACTAATTCTGTCATTGTAAGGTTACATTTGCAGAATCTTGCAAATCTGAAAGTACCCTTCACATCCCTCACTTTTACTCTTTGGAGGATACTTTCTCCATTCACTCATCTTTTAACCTGATGTCTAGGCTGTGGCTCTTCTTTCTCTCTCCCAAGGTCATTTCCAAATACCACTATGAAGTAAAAAAATAATGATTCTCTATTCCCTGTTCTTCTGGCTATTTGAATTAGCAATACAGTACATCCTCCTGCAACCTTTTTCATGATATGTTGGAGTCTACCACACCCATCAACCACAAATACTGTAGCAGTGTTTATGGGACTCCAGAACAAGTTCTGGATATTAATTAGGGGAAGACTGCACTAGCATTTTTTTATCTATCTATAGTTGTGACATATATGGATTTGGCTCTTGCATGCCTTTGCACATAAACCAACACTAAAAAAAAATGTGAACAGATCATGAGATGTCACATACCTATTCCATTCCACTATAAAGCTCATACACTGAATCACTTTACCAATATAAAATATGAAACAAAAGCATGAGAAACACGTCTTCCGGAATGGTTTATAATCCTTTTATCACCAACGGTCATAGGTCTGGATATATGTTTGTGCATTAGGAAGCTTAAGCAGAGCAGGCCATATAATGCTCTATTTGGGATCACATGACCAGCACGAGAGGAAGGCTTGGAATGGAGTAATCACCAACATTCCAAGTCACTGTCCATGCCCTGGAGGAATGTAAATTGCAACAGTATTGTGGGTACTAATTTCCAGTTTAGTTTGCATACAGCATTCCATTTATTTTTTTCTCTACAACCGAAGGGCTGATCAGGCCCATTTTTAAGCTTGTTATTTCATTAATCTATTTATTGTGCCCCCATATCAAATATGAATCTTTCTTTTCCTGTACAAATAGGCAAACAGAATCCCTGTATCTTGGAATAATTTATTTCCAATATTCCCCTGGGTGAGAAAGAATGGGAACACAGCCCAAGTAATCTATCCTGGCCTTTTCAAAGGAGAGAGGTATCAGTGCAACTTAGTAGCAATTTCATTTATACCTACCGCACTTCCTACACAGAATGTAGCAGGCCATATATTAGTTTGATTCGCTAAAGATATATTTGCCACAAAGTCTGGGAACCCTAACCAGATGATAGATCGGAAGATTATACCTATAAGGAAGAGAATAAATCTATATTAATAAGGTACGACTCTGACCACTTTAAAATTCATATTGTTTCATACTTTCCCAATGTATTAGAAAGAAAAATTGGCTTCATTCAGTTTTCTATGATGAATTGTTTTTTCCTTTTATAACTTGAAGCTATTCTATTCTGAATTATTTTAAATCTCCCATTCAAAACTGCCCATTTTTAGAACTAGTATTATATTCCATCTATGTTGCTAGTCATTCTAAAACCATTTTATGTTTGGTTCCTGCTTTCAAGGACCCTTGAAAAAGAAAAACATTTTCTAAAATATATATTCCAAATATTTTTGTTGCTTTTATTTCAGCGCCTTTCTCTGTCCCCTTTCTCTCCTCAAATACAAACAGCCAACAACACTGCAAGCAGCAGCTATCAAGAAGAAAGGTAGATGATAGACAAGGATTTGGTTCTGCTGCTCTGCTTTCCAAAGCTTATTTCCCATGTAACTCAGGATATGGCCTTAAGGACTGGGAAACATTCTTTTTTATCTACTTTTTCTCATCCCTCATTTTATGTGAGGTTAGGCAGGATTGAGGACACCATCTCTTTGCTTTTGTTTTTATCATTCAGAAAAGATCTATTTTTATTGCAATGGGAGTGTGTTTTCATTCTCAAGTGGTATTTTGGTAAAGGCTCTGGCCTGACAATTAAAAGCTGGGTGACTGGCAACTTTGTTTCTGTGTATGTATTGGGGATAGAAAATGTAGAAACTGTACATCTTTTGTATGAATCAGGATTAGAAGTACTACAGTTTTACTCCCTCTGACATACATACACTTCCACCTTCCATCTTCTGGTCCACAGCTGCCTGCCTGGCCAATAACGAAAGGATCAGCAATATAAGAATCTCTTGTCAGTTCTCTAGTCAATCCTAGCTATTTTCTGGAAAGAAGGATGAATAATCTGCATTCTCAGTGACCTTTGTCACAGTAAGACTGCATACTGCAAGAACCACTGACTGGATTAATGGGGATTGGCTTCTATGGCTGTGTTGTGGGAGAAGGAGAAGGAAAAATCATATGCTTGTCTTCAGACCCAGCTTTCAAATTTTCACTATGGTCATGTGAATGGCTAGATCTGAAAGGATGGATTTCATTCATGAACTGAGACATGTAAGGGATTAAAAACTGAATGGTTTTAGCCAAATTCTTCAGAAGAAATGTGGCAGTGAAAATAAATAGGTCAATAAGAGCTCTCTCTCTCTCTCTCCCTCTCTCTCTCTCTCTTTCCCTCCCTCCCATTCTGCTTTCATGAATATCTTTCATGAGACAAGGGGAAAAGAGTTTTTTAAATGGGAATTTTTTGCAAACTGTATTACAAATATCAGAAAAGCAAAAACTGTATCTAAATAAACATGTTTTGAAAAAAATATAAAGCAATTTCCTTCATATTCTATCTGAGTCACTTTTAACACATTAATTAGTCTTTCATTGGAGATTATGGATTAAACTGTGAAATAACTAATATTCATTACTATTTTGTCTGCCTAACAGTAATTTATCTTTTAAAAAACAACTTTCTGTTATAGTGCATACCAACTCTAACTGCATGTGGATTAAGAAGCAATTCCCATCACATCCAAAGATATTTCTTTCTATCTGCATTTAGAACAGCAAGTTTAATTCTGGTCATTGAAGGCTTTTCTATTTGGCTTCAGATTTATCAAATTATGAGTCTTGAGTATTAAGTCTGTGGAAAGGGGGTCAAGAATGCTTACATACTAGTAGACAAACCAATTAGGCAACAGAAGAGCTGGCTTTTTATATAATGTTAAAATGAACTGATAGCAACAGCAACTGCAATCGAAGTCACAAATACAAACCACAACCATACCTTGCTTTGAAATAACATGTTTTACTGCATATCAGAAAATCCAGGAATAAATTTGAACCTACTCTACCAGACATTGTTGCCTTTTTTTTTTTTTTTGCCTGTTGTTTTTCTTTATGTCAGAGGAGCTAATTTACTGGTACTATTGTCCTAGGATAACATATTTTATGAATAACAGAGTTGGAAGGGAACCTTGCAAGTCTTGTAGTCCAACCTCCTGCTTTAATATTCCCTATTAAAATTTCATATTTCAAGTATTGTTTGGGTTAGTTGGTTCCACTAACCCAAATGCTGGTAGAATAATGTCATTTCTTACAGCTTTCCCAGTAATATAACTGTAGCCAACTTGGCTTGTTCAGTTTGTATGGAATGCCATGATAAGCCTTTTCAATCCCTCTGGATACATTAAAGTTAATGAGCAGAAAAAAGAGATTCAGCCTTAAAACATCTGAAATTTCATTTTTCCTGACCTAGGAGCAAGTCCGCTTAAAATTACTGGGCTTGTTACAAAGCAGCAACCAGGCTGCAATGCTAGAGAAGCTCTATTGGGTTCCAAACTATTGATGTGCCTTGTCAAAGTTACTTAATACTTACGTTTCTCCATCACCTTAGTCTTATATTAAAACGTCCTTAGGTGGCTGGAAGAGAAACTCTGTTTCTCCCAGCTCCTCCCTCCCTCCCTCTCTCTTTCTCTCTCTCTGCTCTTTGGTGGGATCCCCCAAACCTCCTCATTTAATTATCAAATGTATATAGCGGCCCATCTCATCAGAAGTGACCTCCTTACCCAGCGAGCCCAGCATGTCACAGGCGGAGATGAAGAGGAGGATGGTTGTGGAGGAGGAAGCCTTGGAAATCGCCCGCGAGCCCCGGCCCTTCTTCGGGAGGAGCTGCAGGGCGCTCAAGAGAATCCCGGCAGAGGCGCTGCCAAGGCAGACCCCGCAAAAGACCTCCGGCTTGAAAGACACCACAAGCTTCGTGGAGACGTCCCGGTTGGGGCAACAGAAAGTTTCCAGCCTCGGAGAGGCCATGGCAAGTTTTTGGGAGACTAGAGGGTCGGGGTGGGAGGAAGGGCCGCGCGCTTTCGCTCGCTCCTAGGAAGCTCTTGCAGGCTTTCTGTCCTGTTCTTCCTCCAGCTTAGAGTTGGGGTCACGCGATGGCCGGATCATGTGGCGAAGTGGCGACTCAAACCCCGGAGCTCCCATTCCCGGCTCCGTTTTTTTTTTTACCCTCACCAGGCGGAACTCCTAGTAGGGCAGCGAAACTGGCGGGAGCAAGAGATCCGAAGCGCGTGTCTTCCCTTCTCTTTGCTCCAAGGCGTTGGCAGGGCTTCACTCAAACAGCATTGCTTCTTGCAGGACCGTGTGCCCTCTTGGAGTGGTGGTGGTGGGGGGGGCTTCAGAGAGAAAGCGAGGCTCTGCAGAGGTGCCATCTGAAAAGAAGCAATCCCTTCAGAAGGATCAACTTCCGTATTTCGTAAATTAGGGATAGAGGATTACCGTTTCTCATCAATGATTCCTGGCTGTTAGTGTCACTCGCTATGGTATCGATCCTCCTCCCTTCACTTGGTTTTGTTATAGTTGGGAGATCTGTTTCCTGAAATCCTGATTGCCCTAAAACAGTTTTTCCGAAGTTGGCTGGTAGTTCAGCACTCCTGAAGAATTTAAAAGGTTTGAGACTTGTGATCACATCATCTGACCCCGGGGCCCACTAGTTATTGCTTTGAGCATCCCTCCATCAACTGCATCTTGAATTTCCACTTTGCACTATCATACCGCACCTGAGCTCAGAAATCCATATGAAAACTAGATAATTACAATGATGTAAACTGGCAGCCCACGGGCCAGATGCATCACACGCAGGCCACGCCCACTCTGGCTCGCAAAGGCAAAAAACGTCGTGATACATCACAATGTCATGTGATGCAATTGAGTTTGACACCCGTGATGTAGAGCTTTCTGTGTCATTGCAGCTGGCAAACTATGTCTACTGGGCTTTTGCAGCCTAGGCTAACCTTTCACTAGATTAGTATTTTTCAAACTTGGCAAATTTAAGTTCTGTGGCTTCAACTCCCAGAATTCCCTAGTCTGTATGCTGGCAAGGAAATTCTGGGAGTTGGTCCACTCATTTTAAGGTTGCCAAGCTTGAAAAACACAGCACTAGACTCCAGTTAGTAGACTGCATAGTTTTGTCCTTTTTAAAGAAGTTTGTCTTCTTTAAAAAAATAGAACTAAAGGCAAGAATTTATCCTAGCATTTGTGTATTTTTTAATTATATGCTCAGTCTGTTCTTTGTATTCATTTTCATCTTAAGAGTACATTCAATGATATGTACTGAAATTCATTTTAGTTGATAAGACTTATTTCTATGCAAATAAGTCAGTATCAGGATTATCAGTTCAAATCAATCTATTGCAAGATTAAGTCCTCTTTAGCTGACTGCAAATTGTTTCCAGTTAACACCTTTGAATTGAGTCACATTATTTTCCCATTATTTCCATGTTTTCTAGGTCTTTCAAGGTCATGTATCCAACCAAGGATTGTTGTTGTCCAACACTTCTCTGTTGTTGTATAATGAGGTCAATCCATTATCATTTCTGTGAGGCTACTAACTTAATTACAATATATATCCTTGACTATTGGTGGATTCATTTTTTGTCTTGTCACATGTTAAGCATTTGTATACTTTTCTACTTCTGTTCTGCTTTTGCATTTAATATCCAAGTTGTGAAACCTTGTGTTAGCATACATATTATACACTAATTAAAGTATTACATTCCTGAAGTAGGCTCTGATGTTCTGAAATGCTCTTCAAGCTAGCTTAGATAAGACATTACTGTCTATGATCATCTTTTTAGTGGCATAGATGGCAGTGGGACTTCTTGATTTGTATGGAAGCACAATTGCAAAGCAATCCTGGTATTATGGTATTGACAGAACTGGAAGAATGAGTTATCAGACAACTCAAAGACATTTGTGATTTTGTATGGTACATATTGCTTCAGCTGTGCTGAACAATGTCACTATGACAATTGTATGACAAAGACCAAGCCAAGAGATGTCATAAAGGAGTAGCTTGTGTCTAGTGATGGTCAGGACTCAGACTTTATTCATATGCATGGCACTGAGTGGCTGCAGGCAGGAGGGGATGGGCATCTTTGTGCAGTGTTCACATGTATACCACGTACCTGGTAGCCCTGCATTTTCTACTTGAAGTCTTGGCACATCCTTTTGATGGATTCCAGATCCTAAAGCACAACACACAATGTGCATTCCTGAATGGCAATAGTTTGCAGTGCACCACCATGGAAGACCCCACACAGAGCAGCTGTGTGAATTTGCCCTCATTTGTAAAACAGTAAGTTTCTACCTTCTGAGCATTGAACAAAGGGAGAGTTAATGTAACATTTTAATGCCTTTAACTCAGTCTTGGTAAATCCCTGCAGTTTCTCTGGCAAGATTTTGGAAATAATTTGCCATTACTTTCTTCCTAGGGCTAAGAGAATGATTGGTCCAAGATTTCCCAGCTGCCTTTGTGGCAAGATAAGACTAGAGCTCACAATCTCAGTTTCTAGCCTGATACTTCAATCAGTACACCAACTTTGTACTGTCAATGTAATAGATAGGTTTTAAGGAAGATACACCTTTATTATTTTTATAAATAACTCAAGACGGTGAACACTCACAATCTTCCTTCCTCCACCCATCTTCCCCACAACAACCTTGTATTATGGGTTGGGCTGAGACACAGTGACTGGCCGAAAGTCACCCAGATGGCTTTTATGTCTAAGGTGGGGCTAGAATTCACTGACTCATAGTTTTTAACCACTAGACTAGATCAGGGGTGACAAACTCAATTTCATTGAGGGCTGCATCAGGGTTGTGTTTGACCTTGGGGCCAGGTGGGCGTGGCCAAGGTAGGCATGGCTAGCTCAACGTCACTTGTGTTGGGGGTGCCTGTGGTGGCTCGCACTCTGCCAGTGAAAACAGAGCTTGGGAGGCTGCAATGGCCTCCTGCCAGTGAAAATGGAGCTCGGGAGGACCGCACGCGGAGCTCCGTTTTAGCTGGCAGAAAATTGCAGGAGGATGTGTTTTCACTGGCAGAGGCACCGCGGGTCAGTCCTTGCTGTTTGCAGCGTGACCCTGTGGGCCAGTTCTAAACACCCTGCAGGTGAATTCGCCTGCAGTTTGACACTCTTGGGCTAGTTGGTTAAGATATCATGCTGGCTAGTGAATTCTGGTAGCTGAAGTCCATAGTCTTAAAAGTTGCTCAGCTTGGAGACCCCCTGCACTAGACTAAGGATTGTCGCCTTCAGTCCCCGTTAAACCCGGATTTCGACTAGGCTGTCTAGACGGCTGCAGCGCTTTAACTGAGTCGAAGGCGACGCTGCTCTCCGTTGTTCTTTCTCACAGCCGCCGCTAGGGGGCCTCTGACAATAAAAAATGTCGCCTCCAAGGCGTTTCGCAGGTAGCTCGGTGGCGCCCGCCTCTCTACCCCCCGCAAAGAAAATGCCGGAACTTTTTCGTGCTGTGAGATCCTGGAGGCGGCGGTTCCTGCCTTCCTCTGGGCCGCTGAAACGCCCACCCCGCGGGGCCTCTTGGAAGGCCGCTGCGCGAACTTCTCGGCGCCCTCCGACACAAAAGCCTCCTTTAGCCAGCCGGAGAAGGCGCCTGTTGTGCGTGTCCTCCTCGGCAAAGCAGCGGGAGGGGAAAAGGCCCCTGAGAAACCCTGCGGCCAAGGAGCCGGAAGGAGCCGGCGCTGCCTGCTTTTAAAGAAAACCTGGAAGGGGAAGAGGGAGGGATTTCCCCCCCTCCCCCCTTTTTTTTTCGTTGCCGTGGCTCAGCCTCTCCTTTCCTCGGCGCCTTGGGACCTTCACGTTGACTGTTTGCAGTTCCTTTCCTCGTATAAAACCCCTCTGGCTCCAACGGGACCGCTTCCAAGAATACCGGGCGCAAAACTGCGCTCAAAGGAGAAGTTTTCTGAAAGGTGGCCACGATCCCCAGTGGAAAGGCATTTATTCCCGTTGTGAGGGCGATGCCGTTGGCGACTTTCCCCTAAATGTTGGAGAAAACTTTTCGCTGCTGTCCTCCTCGGCTCCTTTGGGAAGGACGATTGTCCAGGTCGAGATTCCCCTCCCCCCCTTTTTTATAACCCCTTTTCCTGCTGGGAAGAGCCCCCCCCTTTTTTTTCCCATCCGAAACGGAAGCTCGTATCACCTTCTGGAGAAAGTGGAAAATGCCCTCAATGACTTCCTCGGTTTCTCTTCGGGTTCTGCTCTCCGGCATTTCCCTTGGGGGAAACTGCCGCGGTTTGTTTCCGTGAATATATTAACAGGCGCGCGCAAAGCAACTAAGCCAACAGCCATGAAAGCGCGAATAAATACTTTATGCTTGGAGGGAGCTGTAGTACGTAGTCCAGCCAAGCGAGTCTAATTTCCTGGGGTCGCTTGCTCGCTGTTCTCCCCTTTGGCTGCTTTGGGCTTCTCTTTCAAAGAAAGAAAGAAAAAGAAAAAGCCTGAACTCTGGAAGAGGAGGAGGAGGAGGAGCCAGGGTGTGGAAGGGCTTTACAATCCCCCTCCCTTCCCATCTGGGAGCAGCCTGAAAAACTGCTGGGAGGTATGTGGTTCCTAGGTCAGCGGCGCGTGGGATCAAACTAGGAAGAAACTGGAGGTGGGGGTGTGTGGGGGGGGCGGCAGTTTCGAGAGACTATGGAGAATATGGACTTCAGAGGCGGACAGGAAAGAAATCCTGACAAAGATCCGAGGCTGAATCCGGCAGTATTTATGGATCAAGGACACCCCCACCAGCTGGCGACAGGAGAGCAGAGAGGAGTTGATCCGTACAAGCTGGTGGAAGTACAATTAAGTGGCGGAGCTCCTTGGGGATTTACGTTAAAAGGAGGCAGAGAACATGGAGAACCTCTGATCATCACTAAGGTAAGAAGGGGCAAGAACTGCACGAACGTATGTGCAGTTGGTGGGTACCTGGTCGAAGCGGAAGAGGTGCCCCTGGACGAAGCGTCTTTCTTAGGGGTTTTTGTTGTAGTTGTTGTTGATGTGATCCGCCCGGAGAATAGGATTATGCTACCAATTGACACCGAGTGAACAATTGAGTATACAAAGGGTTCCGTGTGGTGGTGGGGGGAAGGGATGAGAAATGAAATGGTGATGGCTGCGGTGTACCTTAACAGGACAACTTGCGAGGTTCTTGCCACTGGCTGAATGTCTTTAATTTAGAACTAGCGATCGCCTGTAAGGAAGGGATTGCTAGCGAGGCTTTAAACGTGGGTCTTAAAACTGCTTGGTCACTGCTTCGTATTGGTGATATGGGGAAGGGCATGGACAGTGCAATCAAGAACCAGACATTTTAGTGGCAAACGTTGGCTGTGCCTTAGTATTGTATTTAGAGGTGTTTTTATTATAGTTAATATTCACAAGTCCCAGTGATTAAAAGTAATTAATGTATTAAAGCTTAGCTTTACTGTTTTATAAATACTTAGTACATCCCATTCAGGTGACTAAACATTGATAGGCATTGCTAGAGTTAATAACCCCCATAGCCTCATTAATTAATTCAAAATAACATTTCAAGTTAATTCATCAGCCATCACACAGTTGTTGGACTGGATTGCCACTGGGAAGAAAGTTCACCTTTGCACTTGTGTACAATATTTAGTGAAGTAACAAAAAAGTAATTGAAGTTGCTGGGGGTAAATAATCTACATATCCTATTTGTTGTTTTGAATTTTGTGAATGATTACATAGTGGTTAATTAAAAATGGACATTATTCCTTGTGGAAGCACTGAAGTTTCCTCATTTTGCAACCCACAAAAGCAGTCTCTTCCTTCCTTCATTTCCTTCTCTGTCATCGTTATTCACCTGTACTAAATAAACATTTCATTGTGGGTTAGACCATAAATCTATATGTCAAACTAAAATTCTTAACTTATGACTTCTTATGATCTTTACTTGAGTTCGAAAATAAGGACCCTGCCAGAAAAGGGGACAGAGTTCTTATTTAATGGTGAAAACTGAGTACGTAGTTTTATTTTTTCAAACAAGTTCCTCCTTGTACTACTTTCAAAAATCTGTGTGTAAGGTCATATTCCTGATGCTGATGCCCTCCATATGAGTTAGACTACAAAGGAGCTGAAAATTATGAAAACTGTAACCTGATACATTGGTGAGGGATTAAGCTGCAGAAGTTCATGTGTGATAAACTATGCATGTTTCAAAAATATTTACAAAATGTAGTTTGAATCTTATATGAGGACAGTACAGCTAATTTTCATTAAAGCCACCTGTCTTTTTTCAGAAATAGAAGGGGGCTGCTTTAATGACAAAGAGATACTATGCTTGTGTGGGTTACAAAGCACTACATCTCAATTGTTTCATAGCATTTATGACCCTACTGTGTAACAGTTTTTTTGTAAAATACATATAGACTGCTAAGCCATCATTAACTCAACCTTGATTAATAAATTAACCTAGATACCATATTTCCATGTTTATGCACAGCAGAACAATATTAAATTATTAACAATAATTTCCTGATTGTTTCCCACAGGGATGGGTAGAATTATTATATGCTATTATAACTTTAAAAGTAATTATATATAACCTTATTATAACTTTAACTTTAAAAATAAGTATAACAATACTTTTATTACTTTAGGAAATATTGTGTTGCTGAAATAATGAGTTTATGTATAATTGAAAAGAATAGATTCTATAATATAGCTCAGTTCTTGCTATAAGGTTTTTCCAAAACCTTTATAAAAGAAAACAAACCTGAAGGGTACGTTTATAGAAGAAAAAGCTGTTCATAGGTGTTCTATGTTTCCTCAGATATATCAATGTTCAAATATGTTACTATGATATCTGCTCTTGTCTGGGCTCCAACAAGGAGATGGAAGACTTCTAAATCTAGCCTAAAGCCCTAGGATTGCCTAGAAATTGAAGAAAGCTATGGCAAACCATTTCTAAAGCTAAGAAAAGCATATCAAATAATTCACTAGGAGATGAGCTCAGTTTGAAGGAGACATTACCTCTTTTAATAGTAGACAGGTATGAGGTCATATGATCCTCCCCTACCAACCACAAGTGACACCATAGACATTGCCAATTGTTACATCTAGTTCAATAATAGTGTGCTGTTCAATCAATCAAAGATACCTATTTGATTTACCTACTGATATGTTTTCTGGTAGGATATTTTCTGTGGCTGAATACTGATAATCCTTTACTAATAGTAATTCATTGCACAGTATACACAGATAACATCATAAGGTATTTGATTTTATTATTGAAAGTCTTTCTATTCAGCCTTGTTTTGCCAGATGATTAATACAATGGAAATTTTATGGGACGTTTCTACAAGATTTTGATGGCTTGATGTACTGTAACTGGATATGGCAAGAGGTTATCACTTGGTAAATGCAAGCTGTTTTCATCTTCTGTTATAATTATTATGCTGGAGATGGACACATTTAACAAAAATGTGATTTTTGTTATATGAAACATTTCCCCCCAGAATTTAAAAAAGAAAAACCAAGTGTAATGTGATTCTGTCAGTGTATACTTATTCAATATAGAGGTAACAATCATTTGTCTAAATCTGCTTTTCTTTTTTTTCAAAAGAAATTTCAAAGAAAATAGTTACATGTTCACTGCTTCAGAATTAAAAGATACTTTGAGTAGATCATTCACTGATCTGTACTGTTTTGTTCTTGTAGTGGATGATTACATTTTATTGCAGATTTGATACCCTGCAGCAAACATTGCATACTTTTTATAAGTAAATTTATGCTAGGGAAATTAAAAGTAATGTTTGATTATTTTTTCCTATGGATTTCAATTCAATCTAAATTGCAATGTTTTGAGGGCAGTTATTTGCATTTTTAAAATGCAATCCCATTTTTTAAAAAAAGAATCAGAACTATCTTTTCTCTTGATTTAACATGGTTTTGCAAAGATTTATCTATGGAAACATTGTTTTGTAAATATCAAATACTAAAGGAAGAAAGAGTACAAATAAAGCATACAATCATTAATAAGAATCTACTAGCAAAATCTTTTTTAGAAAGTGAATATCCCTTTCATACTCGCACAGGTATACATCTGAAGAAAGATATCAGAAAATTGGGCCTTTTTCACAAATGTGGTAGCATATTTAGATACCATGTTTTAAGTAATGTGGAATAGCTGCTTCTCTCCTTGATTAGTTTCCATCCATTGATTCTTGTTTTGCCTTCAGATGCTTTGGAAAATAGATTGAACCCTTTTTCTTTGTGGCAGCCCCTTAACTATTAGAACATTGTTACAATGTCACATCTAATCCTTCTTTTTATTAAACTAGACATACCCAATTCCTGCAACTGTTCTTCATACGTTTTAGCTTCCAATCCCCTAGTTGATTTTTAGCACGAGCATGTCACAAAACAGAAAAAGGAAAACACTAGAGCATCAAGATAGAAACCAGATATTGTGAGTTGTAGTTCTACCTTAGCCATGAAAGCCGGCTGGGTGACCTTGGGCCAATCACACTCTCTGAGTCAACTTACACAACACAGTAGTTGTTGTGGGGAAAATAGGAAGGTATGTTGGATAATTTTGTGCTTTGAGTTATTTATAAAAATAATAAAAGGTGGGATATAAATGAATAAAATAAATATTACTTGATTGAGTTTTGATTAATAAAATATTACAAAAGCCATACTTGTGGAATCAAGTAAGTATTCATATGCAAACCATGAAAGTATCACCAGTGATACTTTTAACACAGTATGCAAATGTAAGAAGGCTTCAACATTTTGGATTATTCTAATTCTAAGTAGGCTCTTAACCAGGGGCATTTACAATTAGATCATTGGTTTTAAAATTGTGAACACAACCATGCAATCAAAGACTTACCCCCTTTTAATGTGTGTTGTGTGCACAAAGAGAGGTATAGAACAGGGATGAAATCTAAAATTTGTTACTACCGGTTCTGTGGGCATGGCTTGGTGGGGCTAATGTGACTGGGTGGGCGTGACCAACTTTTTCTTTTATACTTTTAAAAGCTTTTTTTTTTTTTTTTTTTGCAGAAAAAAATACTTTTAGAAGCCTCTGATGATCAGGCAACTTAGCTGGGATTGCCAGAGGCTTTTAAAGGCATTTTTGTTTCTACAACCTCTTCGGCCAAAGAGGTTGCAGAAAAAAATGCTTCCAAAGCACCTGAAGGCCAGACAAGGAACAATGGATGGAAACAGGAGAGTTTCAACCTAGAAATGAGAAATTTTCTGACAGTGAGAATAGAATACTCAATCAATGGAACAGCTTGCCTTCAGAAGTTGTGGGCTTCATCACTGGAGGCTTTCAAGAAGAGACTGGGCAGCCACTTGTCAGAAATGGTATAGGGCCGTGATGGCGAACCTATGGCACGTGTGCCACAGGTGGCACGCAGAGCCATATTAGTGGGCATGCCAGCTCAGCTCTGGGGTGCATGCGCGCACCGGCCAGCTGATTTTTGGGCCTTCTGGGCCCACCAGAAGTAGGGAAATAGGCTGTTTCCTGCCTCTGGAGGGCCTGGGCGGGTTGGGTGGGGAAGGCCTGATTTTCTTTCTTACCTGGCTCCAGATCCTCTCTATTTATCTGGGAAGGGCAAAAACAGCCTTTCCCACTCCCTTGGAGGTCCTACGAAGGCTGAAAGGGCCCATTTCCCGACTCCCGGTGGGACAGGAAGTGACATTTTTTGCTGTCCCCAGCCTCCAAAGAGAGGCTCCTAGAGACTCAGGCCTTTGGAGGGCCTCCGAGAGAGTCAGCAAGGATGTTTTCGCCCTTCCCAGATAAATAGAGAGGATCTGGAACCAGATAAGAGAGAAAAACGGGCCTACCAGGCCATCGTGTGCCAGGAGCAGGGGGGGGTGTCGCGCGCACATGTCCCCCTCTCCTGGCA